CCTTTTGTTGAAAAAATATCCAGAGAAAGAGAAGTGTGTTTTTAGAGAGAGGCACTGGCTAAAAGAAAGGCTTCCTACAGTGCAAATAATCACAGGGAAAGAAAAATATTGGTCCTTTCAATTCTATTGTTTAGGTAAATGTGTCCTGGAGGCTGACAAGAGACTTTGGTAAAAGGAAAATTGCCTGCTCCAGCAGTGCCACGTGTATGATGTGTTCTCCTGCTCAGGGCACATGGAGGGATTTGCTGCTGGAAAGCTAAAGCAGCACACCAGAAACAGCCCCACGGCTGAAGGAACACATTTTCAAGCATGTCCTCTAAATTATGATGATGAAATTTCGTTGAAGCTTTGGTGTTTTTTAGAAATCTTTTGCCTCTTGCTATTTTTCTTGTGCCACGGTGGCAGCTACTCACGTTCTTGAAGTCCCAGATGGTTTTCCAGTCCTCAGAGCCCTCCCTTGGGTTGGTGCTGACCCTGATCTCAGAGTGGTTTGAGTCTTCACTGAGCTGCCCATTAAAGTTGTTCTCCATGTTCTGATTCTTGGGAAAGATTAAAAGAGGTAAGCATTTAGCTTCTTGGTTTCCCAGCAGTGTTTCACTCAACAAAGCATTAGCTCTAGTAGCCATGTTTTGGGAAATTATTGCTCTTGGAGATTAAAGGGGAGATGATTTCTGGCCTCAGAATGAAGATGGGAAGCCTTTACTTTCTAAGTAATCAAAATAATTCCTTACTGTTCTTTCCCCAGCAGGATGTTGCTGGCACCAGATTTCTTACAGTATTCTACTGTATTCTGGAGTCAGACCAGCCATGTTAATATTTGTTTCTCTCCACATCATTGTTTTTGGTGTTTATGCTCATCTCAGGACAGACTTTGCTGATTCCATGTATGGTAACTGCCTTTTCCCCTTGACACATCAAGCATGGAAATGATTTTGTTATCATAGAAAAATTAAAATGCAATTTTCTTCTAAATATCAGACTTGAAAAAGCAGCTTCACTTGCAGATACAGATTTCTCAGAGGTAAGAGCTAAAGCCAGTGTGGAAGTGGTGAGTAGCTGTGTGTAGCTCTATACTTACGTGGTTGGCAAGAGCAGGAGCCAAGAAAACCCCAAGAAGTGAAGCAATGACGATCTGAAATGAACATTTGAAATTCAAAACACTTGGACATGGTGCTGCTTATCTTGCATCAAATTGCTTGCTGTCTTAAAATAATTTTGATTTACTTTGTGTAGAGACTCAGCACTTTCTGCAGTGGGGTCCAGCTGAAGAGGATTTAATTGTGCAGGAGAATTATTTGTTGATGAATTCACAGAACACAGGCATGGAAATGGCTCTTGGCCCCAGCAGAGCACCTTGCCCAGGCAAGGTCATTGAAACACAGTGGGGTTTAAAACTTGCCCAGCCCCAGTTCAGTAACTTACTGGAAAAATGTGCTCTGAAATATTTTCTTTGCAAGTGTGAGCTTTTCATCTGAAGCTTTTGGTTTGAGACATGGAGCAGATCTGAGAAATGTCCATGTTGTGAAGAGCTGGAATTTGGGTGCACAGTCCAGCTCTGTGCTTGGAACCCAGCAGCAAAGGGACCTGAGCACCTTCCCAGTGACCCCATCCTCCAGGAGAAACAGTCCAAAGGGAGGCACAGGCCCTTCTGTTCAGAAAATTGGGACATCAAACATTTGTTACCCCTTTAGAAAGCCAGAGTTTCAACAACTCACGGGCTTGGTGTTGCTCAGGTCTGTCCGAACTCCTGCTGATACCTTTTGGAGAGATTTCCTACTGCTACAATGAAAAATTCTTTTGGCATAACTATTGTGAACAATTATTCTCTTGAAGACAACCCTGTGAGTATTGAATCAGTCCCAGATTTTATCTCCTTCAAAGGAGGATTTTAATGAAAAAGGCCCAAGGCTGACTCTGAGTATTTAAAAGTAACACTTGGGAATTTTTGCTGCACCAGTTTGAGGCTGCTGTAAATACCTTGGTGTCACCATCTTGCATTTGGAGTCTTTTATGCGTCCCACCCTCAGCAAACAGCCCTGACTCGCTGGGACTTGCTGGGACTGTTGATCTGAGTGGTGAAGGAGAGAATTTTGTCCTGTGGACGTGTGACGAGTGTCGCCCCTGGGACAGAGCACTTCTCTCTCTCACGCTTTGAGCAGGAATCTGCAGTTCCATCCCTGCCAAAAGGGAGATTTCTCCCCTGCAGTCCCCACCCCTTTGGCATTTTCACTTGCAGAAATCACTCAGAGCTCCCTCAGTGCCAGGAAAAGCTCAAAAGCATTTAAAAGCTGCCCAGCCTTAAGAGTTTGATGAGAAAGTGATAGGTATACTTACAGGCAACTTCATTTGGATGGTAGGCCAGGCCAGCTCTGCTGGTAATTGATGTGTACTCTTACTTTTTATACATAATATCCCAAAGTTAAATCTGAAAATGGGTTTGCCTTATTGGCAGGTGCCCTGTGTCCACAGGAGCATGACGAGTTTCCTGGGGAAGTGCTCTGATAAGATGAGGCTTTGATACCTGCCTGATTGAATTCACTGCATACAGGGAAGTGAGAGAAAACTGCTCATGGTAAGCTCAGTGCATTTAACAGTCGCTGCTTTGAGATGGAAAAAGAAATTTTAATCAGCAGCAGAGCACAGATCCCCAGTGAACTCGCAGTGACGCTTTGTGTGCGGCAAAGGCCTGGGCCTGAAGTTGGGCCTCTCACCAAAAGCACAATTCCAACCCTGGAGGTGCTGATCCTGCCGTGTTAAAAACGTGAAGTGAGTCCCTGGAGGTGAAGAGGGTGGTTCTAAATCCTAGGAATTGCTGAGTTCTTTTTTGCTTCCTTTCTGAGCTCGCTCAGGATCTGCTTTCTGTCAGAGGTGGCCCTGGATCTTCAGAGCCTCCTCAGGAGAGCAGGGGACTGAGGGCTGAGAAAGGGACCAAAAACCAGAAGTAGCAAAGTTCTCTGAGGGATTCTGAGTCACAGCTTCATAAACTCAGCCTCACTCTGCCCAAGGAAAGTGAAATTAGAGGGGATTCAGCCCTGCTTGGTCTGCTCCTCCCTTCAGTTCTTCCATCAGAGGCTGCCTCCAGGGCTGCTGCTGGTGTTGGAGCTGCTGCCTGCTGCTTCCAGGTGTGCTCCTGGCAGATTTGTCACCAACTGTGGGCAAAAAGTCTCCAAAAAGCAAGGCTTGCCTACTGGAATTATCTCAAAGGCTTTGCCCGAGACAGCCAGCTCAGGCTGGGTCCTGTTGCAATCGCATTAATCAGGGAAATACTTTTGGGAAATTCGCTTTTGGTTTTTGTCTTTGTCTGATGGGATCAGCAGAGCTGAGTGCAAGGTGCAGGGTGCAGGTGGTGAGACCGTGGCTGCTGTTGTGGTTCTCCCTCAGTTGATTTTCCCTGCTCTGCCCTTACCTGTGCCCAAGCAGGTAAGCAGCAGCTGCTGCTTCTCAGGTGTTCTTCAAACAAAATGAGTACATGAAGGCTGAATCACTGAGGAAAAGTTAAATTAAGGTGGTTTTTTTTTAACTGGTAGTGCCTGGACCCTGTTATAGTCCTGCTGTGAAATACTTACTCGACTGTCAAAATCTACTCTGAGTATTTCTGACATACCTGTAATCTTAAAACGAAGGAATCTTTTGGAAGAAGGGACAGAGGCAGCTTTCAAGAGGAGTGCAACATCAACCTAATTAATCTAACTGGGTTTAGCAGAATTTGATACCTGTTTATGTGTTTTCTGATACATTGCTTAGCAGCAGGGCATTGTTCCACCTGAGATAACCTTTTCTTGTGTGGACTTAGGTGGCATAAAGCAAATGTGTGCAGTTTCTTTTTTTTTTTTCTTTTTCCATTGAGGCCTGTTTGCTGAGAGATAATTCTGTACAATCTCCTTCTCCTTTCTTCTGATAAGAAAAATTACAGAAATGTGTTTGCTGTTAGTTTGAGTTTTTGTTTTTTTAGGAGGGAGCCAGCCTTGATTATGACCTTCTAGTAGAAAGCAGAGTGTGATTCATCCAGCCCTGGCTGGTGTGGGACAGCAGATGAGGAGGAGTCCAAGCAAGGGTTCAATCACCTCATTCTCATGGCAACATCGTGGTCATTGGCATTTTCACAAAATGCAGCAATCAGGGGTGGCTTCAGAGGGGGAATCCCCATCCTGTTCCTTTAGTTTGTGCACCAGGGAACCTCTGGGTTTTCATGGCACCCCTGGCTGTGCTGGGGAGGCCAGAAGTGTCCCAGGCTGTCCTGTGGGGCACAGCTGCTGCTCCCAGCTCTGTCACTCCCTCCAGAGCTCTGCTCACGGTGCTCCTGATCAAAAGTGAGCAGCGCCTCATGTCAGGAGTCCCTGCACAGGGAACAGAATCACAGAGCCCCACAATGGTTTGGGTTGGAAGGGAAGATCACCCAGGTACAACGCCCTGCCACTGATGCCTGATCAGAAGCAGAGCACAGATTCCCAGTAAATAAAACTCAGTCAGCTGCCTCAGGGCCCCAGCCAAAACTTTCAATATAAAAATGGCTGAAGAATTGGTCTTTTTGTTGGCTGACCTGGAGGCCACCATGACACACGTGTTTCTTCCCAGCATTTCTCTGCAGACCATCCATCAGGCTCTTAGGGACTTGTGTTTTAGAAGACAAAATGCAGTTTGTGTGAATAAACAGCAGTGCTATTCCCAATGTCATTTCATTCTGGATAATATCCTGTTAAGTATTGAAAAAAATAGAACCAGCAAGACTGAAGTTTAAACCAGTGAATAATAGCCATTTGCAGAGTGATTGATTTGCTGAGTCTTACTGAGTGTTTTAAATATATCTGGGTCAGGTTATCTGTGCCAACCCAAAATTCAGATAGGAGGCTTACGACATGTAGATATGGACTTGCTCGAGTCATGAAGGAAAGTTCTGTCAAGTGTTTCCCACACCTCCTGCAAGATATAAAAGTTGAAGGTCTCTGGGACTTCCTTGCGTTCGTGCCTTCTGCAGCCTCTTGTTCTCATCTGGAAGAAAAATGAAGACATTGGTGAGTGTCTCCATTTCTGCTGAACTTTTAATCCTGTAAGTTCCTCACCTTTAAAAGGCAAAGGGTAGAGAAGAAGATGCTCAAGTAAGTGGTACAATGGAGAGGGACAATAATATGATCTGTGTGTTGTTTCTTTGGGTGGGAAGAGGAGAATTTACAATTCTTGGCTCAGCAAAGTCAGTGGAAGCCTCGTTTGAGCAAAGAATGCAGAAGTGGTTACACTTCAGAAGGGGGGTTTAGTTATGATTTCATCATTGCAGTTGTAGAGGCAAATCAAGAAGTAACATGGCATCAAGGAGGGGCTTGTGAAAACTGCAGAAATGTAATGGTTAAATTATTCTGCTTTTTCAGGCAAAGGAGAGCCTGATAGCAAAAGCTTTGCATTGAGGAATTGGGGTTGTTCTCAGTTAAAATACTCACTAAGTGGGGAATTTTTCAAACTGATGCTCCAGCTCCTTCCCTCAGTTCATGGACTGGGTTTTTTTATGGCACTGGTGTTTCTGAGCAGTGAGAATTCTGATTCCTTTCACAGGCTGCAGTCCTAATTTGCCTGGGAGTCCTTTGGGCTCAGACTTCTGCACTGGACGTGAGTAGAGTGATGATCCTTGCACAAAGCGCCGGGGGGTTTTTGTGCCTGCTCAAGGTGGAAGCCAGGTGATGAGCAATGATTTTGTGCTTTTTTTCCTTACCAAAGACCTTTGTCCTGCGGGATCCTGTCAGCAATTATGTCACTGGGACCATGACCATCCACAGCGAGGAGCACATCGTCGATGTCCACGTCCGCTCTGGCGTGTACTCCTCAGACACCATTTTTGACTACACACACGTGAGTAAATCCAAGAATCTGCCTCCAATTAACCCCTGAGGAAGTTTTTAAGATCAGGAATTATTTTAGTGTGTTCTCACCACGTCCTGTCCCAGAACACTGTTTCTCTGAGGACTCCCAGCACCTTTCCTCCTCCTTTCCTCGCCCGTGCAGTGGGGCGGTTTAAAAGATTGTGGTGAAACCTGTGCTGGCAGCTCCTGGAAGTGAGAAGAAGGTCCCTGAGCTCAGTGGGGCTGGAGGTGAGCAGCACAAGTCTGTCAGAAATGTCCCTTCCAGCCTCAGGGACAGCACCAGGACTTTGTTCCCCAAACCAAGGCAATGCATTCATTCCACAGCAGCCGCCCGCTGTTCCTCCCAGCTTGCCCCAAAGAGTAAAGAACACCAACAAATGTCACTGTGAGCCATTTCTAACGATTTAACCTCGATTCTTTCCATCTCAGGGCTATATTGCAACCAGGCTATTCTCACGAAACGCCTGCTTTATCATGAAAATAAAGAAGGACTTGATCCCAGAGCTGCAGGAGATGGGACGTTTGGCTTTTGAGAGACAGGTGAGCCCTGGGGAGCAGTGGGGTGAGAGCAGCCTCCACCCTGCCCTACAGCACCTGAGGGATGACTTTGTGCTGTCTTAGCACTGATGGGGCTGCTCTGGCAAGGCACAGCTTGAAGGGAATTTCATGCAGAACATTCTTTAAAGATAAGGAACCGTCGTGGCCCCCCTGAAGTTTTATGGGGGGTTTGTCGAGGTGGCTCGAGCTGTACAACCCCCTGTCCTTGGAACTGCTGTGACTGGGCTGTTTTGAGGTGATCACAATATAAATTCAGGCAAACTTTCCCTTTACTCATTGTCCTGCTGGTATTTTCACCTTGACATTGCTTGAGATTTATTATTTTTTTTCAGAACAGAAGGTAGAGATCAATTTACTTCGACCAGATTTTGGAATTCATTCAGGCTGAGGTTTCAGAAGGAGACTGGAAGTGTTGCCTGGAGCTGAACTGGCCCATTTGGTGTCAGCCCATTAGCACATTTCCAGCAGAACTTGCTGCCAATAATATAAATTATCATGGCAGCAATGAACAATTGCTGTGTAGGCATATTTAACATCTCGTGAATTTTGTTACTGAATAGATTGAAATTATTCTTTTCTTTAAAGCATGAAGCTTCTTTAGCAATTTTATTGTGAGGCAAAGGAAGGTGGTTTTAGATTTGGGAACCTTCAAAGGGTGAAGTGAATCTTCAAGCTCCATTTCTGGTGGTGTTGAACCTTTTCTCCCCAGACCATGAAGGATGTGTACTCCCCAAACAACGTGTGGGCCCAGTTCCAGAGTGGCTCCTCCTGGCTGGGGCGTTTGAAGGACTGGATCCTGTATGGGAAGCACATTGAGAAGCTCTGCACGGGGCTCCCTCTCTACCAGCTGGTGGCCACCCAACGTAAGTCACAGCCCTGTGCCTCTTGTCCCCTCTGAGCCCAAACCCTCCCAGCTCTGCAGACAACAAGGGTTTTGCACAGGGCAGACAGAAACCCTGAACAGGGACATCATTTAGGATTGAGATTTGTGTGGCTTTTTCCTAGCTAGACACAGGGATCTCACCAGGTAAGAAAATACCGATATATATATATACTGATATAAATACTGCTACTGAGCCCAAACCCTCAGAACTGCATTTCTTCCCCAACACCACAAGGGTTTTGCACAGGGCAGACAGAAACCCTGAACAGGGACATCATTTAGGATT